CTGGATGTCCCCTTTGTTCTTGTACAAGGGCACCACTGTACTCCACCTCCACTCATCCGGCATCCTTTTGGTCCTGAAGATCGCATTGAACAACCTGGTGAGCCACTCCACTCCCGACCTACCCATGCACTTCCAGAACTCCACCGGGATCTCGTCAGGCCCGGTCGCTCGACCACTACTCATCCTACGCAAAGCCCTCATGGCCTCCTCCACCCTAATGCGCCTGCAGTACCCAAAGTCTTTATGTTGCTCTGAATGCCCCAACTCCCCTAGCTCTATGTTACGATCCCCCTCCTCGTTAAGTAAGTCTTTAAAGTACGCCTGCCACCTCAGCTTGACTTGAGAATCCCCCATCAGAACTCTACCATCCTCGCCCTTGATGCACCTGACTTGGTCAAGATCACGAGCCTGCCTTTCCCTTGCTTTAGCTAACCGGAATAACTTCCTGTCCCCGCCTCTCTCCCCTAGTTCCTCGTACATGCGACCAAACGCCGCATTTTTAGATTCTGTAACCGCCAGCTTCGCTTCTTTTCTCGCTACCTTGTAGATCTCCCTGTTCGCTCTTCGTTCTTCCTCGCTTGTGCTCCCTGCCAACTTAGCAAACGCCGCCTTCTTCACCTCTACCTTTCCTTCGACTACATCATTCCACCACCAGTCACCCTGGTGTCTGCCTGAATAGCCCTTGGCCACCCCGAGCACGTTCCGTGCTTCCTCCCTAACCATCGCCGTCTCTGACCACATAGCGTCCGCTGCCCCAGAACTTCGCCAAGCTCCGCCCTCAGCTAACCTCCTCTCCAACTCCTGTGCTTTCTCCTTAGTCAAAGCACCCCATCTAATCCGCGGTTGTCCCCGAGCACCCCTCCTCTTCCTCTTCACCCAGAGACCGACATCCATCACTAGGAGTCTATGAAGAGTCGAAAGGGACTCTCCCGGAATCACCTTGCAGTCCTTGCACATACCCCTATCGCTCCTTCTGAGGAGGAGGTAATCAATCTGAGTCCTCGCCGCCGAACTCTTGAAGGTGACCAAATGCTCCTCCATCTTCTGAAATGTCGAGTTCGCAATCAGAAGCTCGGAAGCCCTGGCGAAATCAAGTAATGACGTGCCTCCTCCGTTCCTAGCCCCAAAGCCGAAGCCACCGTGCACCTCACCATAACCACCAGCATCAGCCCCAATATGACCATTAAAGTCTCCTCCAATAACTAGCTTCTCAGATTGGGGAATACTACTCACCAGGTCACCTAAGCCCTCCCAAAAACGCCTCTTAGCCTCCTCGTCTAAGCCCGCTTGTGGCGCGTAAGCGCTGATGACGTTGAGGACGCAACCCCCAATAACCAACTTAATTGACATTAACCTATCATTCACTCGCCTAACCTCGAGCACAGACTCCCTTAGGTCTCTATCTACCAAGATGCCCACTCCATTCTTACCTCTCACGACCCCAGAATACCACAGCTTAAACCCGTCCCTTTCCACCTAGTAGAATGAAATATCAAAAAACAGTTTAATATGAAAAAACGTTTATACCAGAGTTAAAGTAAATGGCTAATGATTTGAACAATCTAAATTTGCGAAAGTGTGTATATAAAATGGCGCAAAAAATTTATGATATTTTAAAATTAAAAAGAATGTCATATAAATTATAACAAATAAATTAAAATTTTTCTGTTACTGTTAAATGTGTATGAACTGTCAAACATTCTTGCAAACCATATATTAACTGAAGAAAAATGCTTATAAAATTCATTTTAAATTTGATAGTACTATGACTTTTCAAGTTGTATTGATTCTTGAACACTCCTTTTTCTTTTCCTTTATATTATTAAAAAAACGACTTTGCAATATTCGTGTGGTCTTTTTCCCTTTTTGTTCTTTAATTTTTCAGACTTTTTTCCTTTTTATTCTGGTGGTATTTATTCTTGTTCTCGTTGTCTCCTTTTAAATTAAAGATAAAGTAATTAAATAAAAACTTTTGCATCCAGGCAAACTTTTAAATTTAGCCAATCTTGATTTACATATTTGCAGAATTGACCTTGAATTTCTCATAGGTGACATTTTCTTGCTCGTTTTCTAATTGGACCATCCAAAAGGACCATTAAACAATAATCAAACGGATAGTTTTAGGATTAAACGCGAATTTTTATTTCAATTTGAGATTAGTGAAAATTATATTATTTAAACTCCAAGAGTAATGGTCTTTTTATTACATTCTTGATTTACTTTTAACGAAATTTTTATAATTGAAACGCAAAGCACAAAACATCGTTGGAAACTTTTATAAGGATTTTTTTCCTTTTATTTGTATTTTATGCAATATATATCTACTCCATCCGTCTCAAAAAATATCTCGTGTTTCTCTTTAAACGCTCCTTAAGAAAATATTAAATATGAAAGTTTTTTTATTATTTTACCCTTATTTATGGCATAAAATATAATCTCTCTTCATTTAATAATTAATCATAATTAAGGTATTTGTAGTTTTCAAGAATAATTAATATTAAGGGTAGAATAGAAAAAAAATAATTAATTTACTTTTGAACTTCTAAAATGACAAATACTCTCTTCGTTCACTTTTACTTGGCATGTTTTGACTTTTTACGCCCCTTAAAAAATAATAAATAAAGTACATAATTTATCATGATAACCATATTAATTGATGCATATTTTATTGGATTTGAGAAAATGATTTGAAACGAGTAATACTTATCATATATATTAAAATAAATTTTTATTTTTACTTGTCATATATATTAAAAATAAATATAGTGGGTATAACAAAAAAAATTATCTTCTCTTAATATTCGTAAAGTGATACGTAAAAATAAAAATTTATTTTTAATATATATAATAAGTAAAAGTGAACTGAAAAAGTAAATTAAAATAATTATTTTTAAAAATCACAACAGATCATTTTGAGACGAAAGGAATGAAAGAAAAGGACTAAAAGTACCACTTTTGGTAAATTAATAGTTGAAAATTTCTACCACGACATTCGAGATTGCTACTAGATCTTTGTCTTAACACAAATGCACAAGAAAATGAAGAAAAAATATTCTAAAAATCAGCTTTACACGTGTAAATTTTCTTTTTATTTTTCTTCATTTCCTCCGTTGTTTTATATTCCATTTTGGTTTTTTGGTACTGTCCAAAGTCCAAATTTCACGTAAAGAGAATACACCCTTCGTCATAAAGGAAATGTCAGGATCTAAAATACGAGGGTCAATACTATTGGAATAAATCCGACTATAAAACTGTAGCATTCATATCGAATTATTTAGAACTATAACATAAGCGGAAGCGTACCTGAATCCATAAGTGGAAGCTCCTTGATCCGGCTTGGAGATCGTCCGGGGTTTGGTTTTCCACTTGATATGCAAGCTCCAAGAATACTCTCTCTATTAATGGGAATTTAAGAGAAAATCTTGCATTCAAATGGGAACCATAACCCCCTTATTTATAAGCATGTAACCATAGTTAGCCCATCATTAACTATGGTTACTCTTTATGGGTATCTACACAAAATTAGACTCTACACTTTATATGACGATGTATTGGCCTACTTAATAATAATATCCGAAGGACCACTAATTTAGGCCAAACCGAAAGATAGCACATAACATATAATTAATCCATATATTGTCCATATGTATGTAGTATAAGTCCATATATCTAAGAAATACATCTATGTACTTAAGTTAATAATGATTTTGAAACAAATCTTGAGCTGGGAGAAAAAATTATAAAAATAGTAAGGTATAGTTAATTTTCGGATTGGTTATTTAAAAATAGCCAGTATTTACTAAGTTAATAAAAAATAGTTACTATATTATGATGGACCAATATACTTTGTTGGCTCCAGTATAATATACTGGAGACTGGAGCACCAATGCTCTAAATTTCAGTATATTATAATGGACCAGTATATTTGATGGAACTCCAGTATATTATGCTGGAGTTCCAGCATACTTATCCTGGAACTTCAGTATAATATGCTGGAGTTCAAGTATATTTATGTTGGAACTCCAGCATAATATACTGGAGTATTTTTCGAATTGAACAATATTTTCGCTCAAATTTATCTTTCCATAAAAAATGACTAAATTTTGATTATTTTTGAAACTAAGGTATTTTTGAACGACCAGTTATAAATTTAACTATTTTTGAATTTCTATGTTTAGTTGGCCCAATTTAATAAAATAAGTTACTTAAAAATAAGAAAAATGACTTATTTGATGGAAGTAAAAAAGAAAAAAAAAGTTTATAAGTGATGTTCCACGCTGATAACCTCCTATTCACCCCAAACACGCCCCTGTCCACCTGACCTCCACCCATCCAATCCCCGCTCACGCCCGCTTCTACCCCCACCTTCACATTATTTGTCTAATAATAATAATAAATTCAATATAATTCGCAAGTAAGGTTCAAAGAAAATATTATATATGCATACTTTACATTTACCTTATGAAGGTAGAGAGGCTATTTCCAATAGCCTCTCGGCTCAAGGCTTCATATTGTTTGTCTAAATTATATGTAAATGCTCTTGAAATAATATTTTCTACTTACTTACAAACACAAATAAATAAATAATTCAAAAAAATATTTTTCATGGAATACATTCACACCCTAGAAGTTATATAACGATGAATTCATAATTTGTATTGCTAAAAATAATTCAAACCGTAAGAAAATATCATACAAATATTATTTGACTTATTAAAGAATTGTCTAGAGTCCAAATTTATTGATAAAAGTATCTTATGCATCCCAAATATAACGACACGATTAGAGTGTGAGGATGAACACATCAATTTTCTTAAACTTTTAATTATATTGCAACAAAATTTACATGATTATAAATATAAAATCACAATTTCCATAGCTAAAACATATTTTATTTGTTATAAATATTATAGGTAAATAATATTATAGGAAACCAAAAAAAAACAATACCATCTAAAACGAGAAAAGAGGAGTTCTAAAATTAACAGATATTCAAATAAATAATTGAAGATATAATATTTTATAATTATCAGCTAGCTTTGGCTTGAAGTAACTGAGATTTCCTTCATCTGATAGAGTTTCCAGTTGGCGAATACTTTATTTTCCTTCTTTTTCCCGTCATGAGTTGGAGTACCTTTTTTAGGAGAATAAAAAATTTTGTGAATATATTTCGTGATTCAAACTCCTAAATTATATTCATTAACTGATAATTTTTGTTTTCTTTTTAATTAGTGTTGTCTTTTTGAGGGGTGGTTCTTTCAAAATAAATTAAATAGTGGTAAGATACATTCAAACGTCAAACTAATCAAATACTGATCACAACAGTTATTTTTTTTCTTTTGAAACAAGATTTTAGTGGGAGATTAGCAATGTAGAATTCATAAACTTATGCAACAACAACAAATTAATGTATTCCCATTAATGAGTACGAGGAGCGTGAGATGTTCGCATCCTTACCTCCTACTCTGAAAAAGGTATAGATCCTCGACCGAACAAAAAATGAGAAGAAGCGGCGGCGACAAGTAATAACAATACAAGATATTAAGAAAATCAAAGCAAAGATAGCACACAAATAGAAGGTAGTAATAGCAATCCAAGAATAAAACGAACCCATACTAACATTAATGCTACCGGACCAAGAAATAAAAAGAGACACGCTCGACTACTTATTAACCTTCTACCCGAATCATTGACTTTCACACCCTCCTATCAGGGGTTTATGTCCTCAGTAAGCTCCACCCATGGCACCGGCCTAATCACTTCTCCATAATACTTGGCCTACCGCTACCCTTCCTTATACCCATCAAGGTCAACCTCTCACACCTCCTAAGTAAGGCATATGTACTTCTACTCTTCTCGCGCATCTTATCCTCCACAGGATCAACTCCCACCTTATCCCGAATAACTTCATTTTTAATCTTATCTAACATGGTATGCACGCATATCCATCTGAATATCCTCATTCCAGCTACTTTCAACTTCTGGACATGGGAGTTCTTAACTGGCCAACACTATGCCCCATACAATTTAATCAGTCTAACCACCACTTTATAAAATTTATCTTTAAGTTTTAGTGTCACATTCATACTACAAAAGACATCGGACACGAGCCTCCATTTCATCCATCATGCTTTGATACAATATGTGATATTCTTGTCAATTTCTCAATTTTTTGGTATTATTGACTCAATGTATTTGAAACTTCTTCTCCTGAGATGACTTGTATATCAAGACTCACATCCATGTTCGCTTCCTACTAATATCGTTGAACTTATGTTCCAATTATTATGTGTTGGTCCTGTTCATCTTGAAACTTTTAGACTTTAGAGTTTGTCTTCAAACCTTAGCATCTTGCATCTCGTCAATCAGAATTATACCATCTATAAATAACATACACTAAGACACCTCGGCTTACCCGTAAAATAATATAGTTGAATTTATAACAAGATTTATAGACAAACGAATTGATTTGACCCCAAAAGTGATAAAGAAATAAGATTAAATTTGAGATTTAACGATTGAAATTAAAGAAGATAACGAGTCTGGTTCCGTACTCAGCCTTTTTGAGAGCAAAGGCGAATAATAACAAAACAATAATGAAGCTCATTAATTGAGCGCTAAATAGTGAAGTATGAAAGCGAAATATAAAGTATAGCTTTTGTGTGCAGAATGTTTTCTCCCCCACAATGATTGTTAACTCACTATTTATAGTTCTACCTAGAAGAACAAGATCCTAGGATTAAGATCCTATTAAAATGAAAATAAAAGCGCCATTGATAAATATGTACGGCATGCCTTAAATGTAAATATTCTCTATAACGGCTGCACATTTAACGCTAGCAAATATTTCCTCATTGAATGTTGTCCGATGAAATTTTTTTGAACTTCTACCGCCGACTGCGTTCCTTTCGGAATCCATCCGGTACCGATCATACGTGTTGCATTCAATACTTATTATTTCCCAACTTGTCCTTTGTCTATCTCCGGCTCTATGTGTCATCTTACTATTCGACCACATGTTATCAACCAATTTTACCCCATATAGATAGCCCTTACTTTTCGGTGATTCAACTTAGTGTTACCGAGAAGCAAGTGTAGATTTTTTGCTTGGGAAAAAAGTTCTTGAACAGTCTCTGGCACTTAAAGGATGCACGTCTTCTCGCATTTAAATCACAAACACGTGTTGTCCTACGATACAACAAATATTTTTCCTAGTTTTCGAGGTAATCATGACCATGATTTTTGTCGTCTATAACTTCTCTGCTACTCATTATTTTAACTTCTTTACTCCCACAACTTTCATAAGTCTTTCTTCATCTTTGCATTTGCTTAGAAAACTTTAACAATCTTTAACTTTCTCAGCAAGAACTTTTTTTTACAAACCTTTTACCACCATGTCTTCATACATTGCTTCCTTTAGTAGTACCGGTCTTTTCTTCGGTGGAGGCCCGAAGAAAAATAAAGACAAGGAGGTTGATGTTGAGTCTGAACCTCCAATTATTAGCATTATCATACCTCTTTAGCTCAACATTGCAAACGATCTTCAAGAAAGGCTCCTTTTGCAACTTTTCAAGGACACTGCTTTTGGCTAGTTTGCATGTTTTCCTTCTCTATTCGCCCTTCCAGTATTCCAACTATGAAGTAAGACTACAACTGCCTCAATATTGAAATCCTCGCACCAGATACGGTAGAGCGAGTTACCTACTCCAAGGGGGTTTATGTATGTCTATACGTATTTATTTACCTTGGGTCCATTCTCTTTAGGGTCGAGTGAAGGGCTCGACCCAATAATTTTTAGAGTTTTGCTAGCCGACATCAGGTCTGCTTAGCACAAGTAGGCCCATTTATATGGCGAACGGTGGCCTGCTTCGCTAATTATGCATTGAGAGCGGGGAAACCCTAACTCTTGCACATATAATGAACCTTTACTCTCCCAAGATTTTTCGTGAGGGAGTAATAAAATTTAGCAAACATGGTTACCACGCTCTCCTCACCAGTGTAGACAACGATAACAACAACAAATGGATGGAATGGTTTGTCATTATTTCTACCACGGACATCATCCCAACCACAACTGTAGACTTTCCCGAGTCATGGAACTTTTTCATAAGGTTTTGGTTTTTTGCTTTCTTTTTCTGTAAAAGACCATCTTTCACTTATATTAATTTTATTTTTCCTTCATTATAGAAACCCGATAGGAAATTGCCATGGGTTCACAGCCTGGACCAATGGGTTCAAAAAATTCTGGAAATTACAACTCCAGAATCCCAGCGCTGGAAGTAAATGGCTCCCAAATATAGGTGGAAGGCCAAGCACCATGGTAAGCCAAGTGGTTTTCTTTTATACTTGTTCGAACACAAGAAATCTCATGGATCAGTTTGTAACCCCATTTTTCTTGATACAGGGTTTTCGAGGGGCTCTGTCATCTACCTCCAAAGTCGATGCCTTAGATGACCCCGATAAGGCCAAGAGGGTGTTGCAAAAATGTTCTCGCTCGAATCAGAGCTCGTAGATCTGCCCGAGTCTCTGGTGAGGGTGCCTCCTTGAAGTCCCTAGTCCGAGAATAGGAAACTGAAAAGAAGACGCTCCTCTTCGGTTGAGACTTAGGGGAAGAGAGCGAAGAAATACCATCCGAGGCATCTATAGTGGTCCTCGTTGATGATACAGAACCCAGTGATGAAGAGGTTTCCCTTCAAAAAGATCTTCATCAGCTCAATTGGATGCTCAGCTAGGGGAGCTTCAAAACCAATCATTAGAAGAACTCGGGCGCTTTGGGGTGAGATGGACCTGGTCGAGAATGCCAATTCTTGCTTCCCGACCCCTATTATTGTCTCTGGTCTAAGGAGTTCGAACCCTAAGCCTCCTCTGCCCCTAACCGCTGAGAAAATAACAACCAAAACTCCTTCTGCCACTGCTTTTTCTTCTCCTTCTACACCAAAAACTTCTTGCCCATCGACGTCGCCTTCTCCTTCACCACCAGCACCAACTGCATCACCTCCACCGATTCAGCTGATCGAGAAAGAGATGTTTCTCCTCCCCGTTCTCTTGACCACAAGAACTTGGGGAGCACATATGCTATGCCTTCTCAGGATCCCCAAGGAAAGTGAAACACCACTCTTCAATATCGAAGGAATAGCACGCCCTCTCATGGCCTATGGAACTTTCCAATTATATGAATTCGTTGACAAGCGAAGGATTAGAAGAAGATGGGCTCCTTTTCTGGGGAGTGCCTGACAAAATAACAGTATGCATTGTTCGACGTTGGTACCATACTAGTTTCTAACTATCTTCTTTTCTGCTTACGTGTTACAATAATAATCCTAATTTCAACTTTCTCTTTATAGGCCTATTTTTACCTCTAAAGGCCTGTAAAGGTTGATCTTGATAAATAAGGACTTGCTTTTGAGCGAGATCAACTTTTAGCTGAAAAAAACCAGTTTGTCATGCGCCTCTCGGTGTTGGAGGTAAAAGTTGCAGAGATGGATGCTCAGTTACAGCATGTCAAGGAAGATAGAATGGACCATAGCAAAGAAGCTACCCAATTATATGAAAAGCTTCAAGAAGCTAAGGTTAAGTAGGCCGAACTTCACGATGCTGCCATTGATGTTGCCAAGAACGAGTCTTCCTTAGAGGAGCAAATCAATAACTTGAAGGCCAACTTATGCTCCAAATAAAGGAGGCCAACACTGCCAAGAGAAGAGGGCCCGAATGGAAGAGAGGCTTAAGAGGGCCATGGAGCAAAACCTGCTTCACTCAACTGCAAGTGTTGAGCTTGACTCCCGCCTCAGTGCCACGAAGTTTAAAAGAGAAGAGCTCCAGGACAAAATCGATAAACTTCAGGAAAAACTCCAGGATCAAGAGCATTCCCTTGTCTTCGAGAAAACCTATGTTATATATCATATGAATAGGATGACCTTTCGCCAATATAGATGATTTTATTGCCCAGGCCGGTGAACTGGTGTTACCTACTCGTGAAAACCTTCCCACTCGGCCCACTGCGACTGACTTCTCGAATACTAGTTCCAAGTATTGGGGAATCGAAGGGGAGGCTGAAGAAGATGAAGCCCCGATCCAGTAGTGGATCTACCTTCTGTTGATACCCAATTTTTTCATGTATTTTTGAATATGCAAATACCTTCAAAATAGCCTATATAGGCATATATAAGTATTTCCAAAGGTCGCATTATTTTTTCTTAATTTTTTAAATATTTTTAAATCACTTTACTGTCCTATTTTATCAAGAAAACCCCAATAATTGTCCCCAGAATTATCATTTTTTGGTGATTCATTTATTGGATTCTCATGTTTATACTAAAATATAGCTAAGATATTTTTTTTAATGTATTTTTATAAACTTATTTAGAAGTTTTAAGGATAAAATTGCATAATTGTAATATTAGCCATTTTTAGGTTTAAATTCGTCTCATGTTTATAAAATGAAATTTTACATTTTTAAATTGAGTTATATATTATAAATCATATTGGTGCTTTCAGTTTGTTTTCACAAATTTGTTTATTATTTTCTATAAATTAAATGGAAAAAGGGCTATTTAACTTATAGTCAGATTTGTCTTTCTAATTTAGCTTAATTAAACCAAATCCCAACCCAAAGACCCAAGCCCAATCCCTAAATCTACCCGACCCAATCGGATTAAATCTTGGCCGTTGATCAATTTCGATCAACGGTCCAGATCCATTTTTACCAAATTAAATGAACGACCCCCCCCAAACCCCTCTCATTCCTCACTCAACCGACTCTTATCTCTATCTCTATATATATGGTTCTCTCTAAAATCTTCCCCCTTCCCCTCCGCTCCGATGAGCTTCACTCTCCTTCTCCAGCCATCTCCTGGCCTGAATCCATGGTGGTCTCACCACCTACCAGCCTTCAATGGTTCAAACATGCTTGGTTGCTGAAGTTTCATGGCCTGACCACGAAGAAGCTTCATCCAGACCTTGTTTG